CCCTCCCACTCAAAATCTCCACTGGTGGAGGCCATCACACCATCCATCCAGACCTTCTTGCCCTGCGCATTCACAAATAACTCGAGATATGAATCTTCGAGTTCTAGCCAGTCCTTCTCCTCAAGATCCGCCCAGCGCTTTTTATGGGCGTACTTCTGATCCTTAAGGCGATCTAATACGCGGTCGTTCATAAAAATGAAGGCCTGCATGTCAGCGTGCATGGGCGTAAGGCGATTTCGAGCTTTCGTGTGTATGAAACTAATAGCAGAGAAACTTCGTTCTGAGGGCGCAAGCGTGTTCATTACCTTCACGGCTACCCTAGCCAGAATCGAGCCCTGGTTGAGGAGGCACTGCCACGCCATTGCTGGCTTGAAGCCATCATCGTATACAGCGCTGTGCTTATTAAACAAGCCGTCTGGGCCGCCTGTACGCATTCGGAAGTGTGTGAATTCGGAAAGGGCACGGTGATATTCGTCGTCGTTTTTCAGCTGTTTCTGCAAATACTCTTGTACGCGCGCAAAGACGCTAGGCGGCAGTTTCGAATTTGGACCTGTTGTATCAGGCCGGAGGGCATCGGCGATCCAATGTATATCGTACGTTTGCTTATCGAGCCGGGCTTTGAATATAGCGTCAATGTCGTCCCACGGAATATCAGGAAACTGATCAGCCTCTCCCATCTCAGACCATCTGCTTTTGATTTGCAGCCAGCGATTTATAACGTGTGCGATTCCCGCCCCATCAGCCTCGGAAGCGTGTTGAAATTCGTTCACGGGTTTTAGCACAGCGATCGCAGCCTCTAGTTTTAGCTAGAAGCTGTTGTCTTTGATGATTCGAACCGCTTCGGGTAGGAGAACGGGGCAATCTTGAGATCGCAGCTCATCCCGTACATCTTTTCGAATAGACCAGTCTCTGGCAGGGTCTCGAGAACGGAGGAGGGAGACGAAAGAATTGTACTGAGAACCCCAGCGTGCAATTATACTATTCGGAACGAGCGAGTTAGTATATCGATTTCTCAGTCACAGCTAACGATTTACCGGTACCTTCTGATCAGCGCGCGAGTTACTCCGTTCCACCTTGTGCGTTGGCACATTCTCAATCTTTGCAATTGTAATTTAGACCGTGAGAAGAACTTGAGAAGGGTGCTGACGTTATTACAGAGATCCTCAAAGAATGGAAGAAGAAGGATATCTTTAATTAGAAGCTGAAGGCCGTGAGAATCGCATAGAGAGAAGTTGATATGTGAGAGCTCTGGGAATCTCCCTAGCAAGCCGTGTACAGAGCGCATCGTGTTTTCGGTATCTTTACAGATAGAATTGATTCTGGAGAGATCACCGCCGCACAGTTGCTGCATTTCTCCCCATATCAGCTTCACCCAGTTCTCCGCTGTGTGCTGTTCGTCTCCCGTGTCAAACGTTTTCCAGTAGAAGGCTGGGCCGTCTGGTAGCTGTACCGAGATATTATCGGAAGCGTCAAATATGATGTTGAACCATTCTGAGCTGGTAATGCGTTTGAAAACCTCGTCATAGAGTTCCTGATAGAAGTCGGGAAGAATTCTCGTGATGGAGGCGCGGCTAGGAGGCTTCCAGCCAGGCTTAATGCGAGTGAAGAAATAACGCAAACGGCGGCTCTCGAAGAGGCTGAAGGGCCGACCGCCGGCGATTACAGCAGCGGCGGCATCATAGGCGTAACTGTGACTCTCGTCCTGCGAGATATGCTGAATTCCGACCTCGGTTATCTTCTTTTGTATAGCTTCTGAATATGAGGGAAGATAGCCAGCGTTATCTTGAGCTTGACGCTCTTGTCGCTGCTTGGCTTGCCATTTCTCACACGCAGCGAGATGCTCTTTCGGCCTCCCAACAGAGGTCGCTGCAAAATCCTTTTGGCAGTGACGGCATCTGTATCGCTTGCTTTTCTTGGAGTTAGAGCGGCCGAGGTCGATAAACTGTCGCCAAACGAAGGCAGCGTTAGCTTGGGTGGGCGCCATCTTTTTGGCGATACCTTCAATCGGGAGAGAATGGCAGTGTGTTGAGCTGCTCAGCCAACGGAGTTTTTGTACAGCCCCCCGTATTTGTACAATATGACCCACAAATTCCCCTATTAGGAGTATTATGGATCCCATTGTACGTACATAGTACGTGTACGTACTTTTTCTTTCTGTACGTACGTACGTACAACACGGTTGTACATACTGTACAACATCACTACCGCAGCGAGGTGAGAACCGTCGTGCTCACTGTCGATGTCTTTCAATGCCAAAATACGGTGCTCCAGCTGACCATCTTCCGTGACATAGTGACCAGCTACGCCTAGGATGGCCAAAGAGTTGGGAGAAGTCCAAAGGTCGCAGCTGATGTGAATTCTTGACTTCGCCGACTGTATGCGCTGCTTGACCTTCTCCTTCTGGTCTTCATACTGCCGCATGATCCATTTCCTGATGGTCTCGTGCGTGTCTGGAAGCCAAGTATCGATATCGTTATTGACGTAGGCCAAGAGTGCTCGGAACTCTGGGCATTCCACGAGCCGAAAGGGGAGAGAACAGGCCGTAATAAACCTCACATACAACACTTCGAGCTGGTCAGGGTCGATCGAATCTCCGGATTGATCGTTGAGCCGACGGCGTTTGCGGGGATTTTCTTCTGCCGCAGCACGAGCTTGTTCGAGAATTGTTCGTATCGTTGTCACTTTAGCTGTGCGCGGGGCTCCTTTTGGCAGACCATGACCGTCAGGAGGAGGGTCCATAAGATGTTTTGCGGGAGCCGCAGTACCCCCGGAACAGGCATATGCTCTGTCACAATGTTTGCAGCGCCACTCTTCTTTTCCGGTCCGCTGATTGTAGTATCTCGTCTCTATCTCCTCGTTTGGCATATGAGAGAAGACCCATGATGTTCTGGGCTTGGTGGAGGAGGTTGTAGAGGCTGTGCAAGGTCGAGATTTGGACGTTTGGCTTTCGTCTAAGCCATGTAACTGCTGGCTGGAAAACTCCGAAAAGTCAACTGAAATTGACGACTCTCTTCGTTGTGACCATTTTACAAACGGGAGGCGTTGTTGAGGCATGGCGATATGGTTAGTCAGTAGGCTTGATAGTGATGAAGAAAATGGGCAGAGGTGACGATGGCCAATGTCGACAGGCAACCACTAGTATGCCCAGCCTAACATGGTCTGTACCAATCGTACCTCCCATGACGCGTGAAGGAAACGCGTAGTCGCATGTTATGTCTGATTGTCAATAAAGACGCGTGTTAGGTGAACGCTCGCCAATAAAATGCCAAGCATCCTTGTCGCTGATGTAGGGTAAGGCATGCCTGGCTACTGTCAAGAGGCAATTTCGCCACAGGACCAACAACCCAATAAAGTAATATATTGACAATATGGACATCCTCATATTATATTGACACAATATCAAAATCTTCATATCATATTGTCACAATATGAGAAAGTCCATATCATATGGGTTATATTGTAATATACTACTTTATTGCCATATTATTAGCAACACTGATGAGTTCCTTGGCGAGGCGGACTGCCCAGTCGGATCGCTTATCCTTATGGGCGAACCAACAATCATTTTCGTGATGTCCTCTCTTCTTGCAGTTCGTGCAGGTATGGTCCTTGTGCTTGCCGATCCGATGATTGGTTTCCTGGCTGGAGTTGTTCGTGGCTTGTTGGTTCTTTGAAGAGCCTCTCCTCCGGCCACTTGCCTCTTGCTTTCTTGCGGTCGGGCCCTTCCTTCCGGTCTTTTTACTGTGAGCCCAGTACGTAGAGGCAGTACCATGACTGTCATCATCATCTGATGACCTGTTTTCATCAATGAGATCTTGCTGCATTGATCGTAGTGTTGGCGGATGCTCAGAGCGTAGGAGAGCCCGCTGTCTGGCGGTCCAGTCGGGGTACTCGTTCTCGCAGGCAGTCAGATAAACAACCTTTTTGAGGGTATCTGAGATTGGTTCTTTGATTCAGAAGAGAAACCCGGTGTTTGCTAACCCGGGCTCATAGCCTGTTGTTTATATTGCGCAGTAGTGCTGGGTGAAAGTATATTTTATAAAAAACTTGATTGTTCATTGTTGAGATGAGAGTTCTTCTCTGGTTTATATCTCTAATTGATTTCATCTAGGACTTTGAACTTTAAATCTAGGACTTTCAGACTAACAATCGGAATCCTGAAGATAAGGGGGATTCCCGGAATTTCCAACACCAAAGCACTGCGTTGGAGAGATGGGGAGTTAGCATGTAGAACCTGTCGGATTTTCCAGGAGAAATATAGGTATGTCGAGCTCTGCACGTACTTTGGCCTTTTGTTTCCGACACGGTTCGCAGGCAATCTTTGTCTGGTTGGTTCGAGGATGGAGACGGGATGGTAGCGATGGTCCCTGATCGGAGCCAGAGCTAGTACCCTCAGGATCTGAAACTGGAGCTGGTAGAAGTCTACGAAACTCGGAGACGTTTAAAGGCAACCCTTTGTCGCTGAGAGATGGACAACGCGAGGACATTGTAAAGTGTATAGCACCATTGAGGGCAAAAGGGGACTAGGTAGGAATCGTAGAATTAATTGAAGCGAACCAACTCGATAATGACGAGGAGATGAAACAAACGTAACAAACGGGGATTCGCCAACTCTATTATGCGTGAGAAGGCGAACATCATACCCCCGCGTCAACAATGCCCCAGAGCTCATAGCGAAGGAACAAAAGATCCACACTGGTCCCCATTTTCATGGCTAAATCTGGGCGGATATGATGGCCAGAAAGGGATTGTAGCAACTTCCAAACCGAGGGGCTACAGTGTATTAAGAATTAAGTCATTCTTTCGTCACTATTGTAATCCAATCTCGTAACGTGCTTCGGCTAGGGGGCAACCCACCGTAGGCCCAGCAGGCAAATAGTAGCAAAACAGCGCCCACTGTTCCTTATCTCTTTAGCCCTTTGACGAGAACCATCATCTGTGACTACGCGGTACTCATCCTTTTCAAGTTCTGGAACCGTGATCTCTTATATCTAGAAATCATGTGCGCAACTCCTGTACTCTTAAACTTATATTTTATGCTTATGTCGGCGTTTCGTGGTTCGCAAGGCCCTCAGGTACGTGGTATGATGTTGCTTGCCGTGAACTATCTCGCAGGGGATGAACGCTGAGTTTTGCAGGAGTATACCTGTGTTCACGTTGATGGATACGGCAGCTTGCTACTATCAGACTCTGTAAGTTGCATTAACCTTGATGCCATGCTACTGCCATTAACAACCATAACCGGATCTCTAGGAATCCATATCCTCCTACGGACAGTCTGTCAACGAAGAGTAAAACCACCAACTAAGCAGGCAATGTCTGAAGTTTTGTACCGTCCAACGTCTGTGATCAGTTTCCCTCTCATCCCCATCGCAACAAACGCCGTCACGTTAACAAGCACCCTTGCCACACTCGCAAACACCTCCCCATCGAAACAATCCCTCTAGCCCACCTAGACTTGCCGAGGTAGATGGCGAGGCCGTAGAAGGGGGGTTACAGGTGGGCGAGCCGGCGCAGGACTTGGGGATGCGGTAGGTGGCGGGGATGGTCTAGAAGGGGGAGGGGGGGCAATAGTATTCAACATCGATCTACGTGTAGTTCGAGAATCTATAAACACATACGCCTACCCCCAGATATTACCGATACTGACGTATTCGCTGACAACGAAGTTCACTAAGGGTTGTGCGGGAGCATCAAATGTATGGCCAGTCGAGTCTTTAAACATCGTGTCCATGAACCCTTCCATTATATCTTTATCGAAGACAGCGTCGCGGATAGAGCGGTCGCAAGATCCCAGACGTGCAGTATCCTCAAGCATCGTTTCAGCTCGAGGTTGTTAACGTCGTTGGCGGAGGCGATAGATCATCAGGGTCGAAGCAAGGGGCCGCCGATTCCGAGGGCGGCAAACAATCGTCGCGGGATCGCATGTTTTGATCAGAACAGGAGGAAAGGGCTGCGGCTGGAGATAAGTGTCAGCGCTCTGGCATCACGAGAGCGTTCGCGCTTCACGGCAGGAACGATACCGTAAAGAATGGGGGGAACAAAATACTGCGCATTGACGCCGAGACGAATTCAAAGGGTAAAGGCGGTAAGACGCGGTATGGTGTGCTTACAAGGAGTTGCAGTTATGGAGATGAACGGCAGAGAGGCTGTCTGGAGCTGCGCGAGAGGGTCCGTGAAAGAGTCGGGACTCAAAGAGAGGGAGTTTGTTGCAATGAAGCATTGTCGGTTGAAATGCTGAAGAGATTTCGAAGGGACCCTGTGGGGGATTTCGGGGTGCGATGGAAGAGAGACATCACCAAGGTCTGCGACAACAATACTTCGAGGCCTTGCGTCGAAAAGGTTGGAAGAAGGGTCTCTCTACAGGAGGGCCTTGACCAAGAGGGTCTGAGACGAAAGGCCCCCTCGATAACGGCGTCCATTGCCAAAGAAGAGGTTGTACCAAGACAACTTGCGAGATTTTTGGACAGGACAATGGAGATGCAGTTCGAGATGGCACGCACCTCTAGAGCAACAATTCCTCAAATTCTTACTTTAGTAGGACCACACTGACATGCAACCAGGTGGCTGCCGGTCTCGTCTCCTGCCGAAGAAGAGAAACACTGCTGGCAATATTTGAGCAAGACGAAGGTTGAAAAACATCTGAAAATGGTTTTGCGGGGATTGGGACCAGCCCTTCGCCAATGTTGGGTGCTGATCAGGTTAGCAGAAAGCCTGGGGTCCAGGGGTTTACTTGGCCCGAGACAAGCGACGCCCTCTGTTTGATTTTTCACACTTGCGAAAGCCTACCCATTCCATCCGGATGACGGATACTTGGAGCTCTATCCTCAATCTACACGATCTAATTCATTCGCGACATCGACTTCTCTGTCTTACCCATGAATGCAACGAGTTATTGAACCTCAGCGCCCTTTTTTCTTTGTTTCTAGGGGGACCTTTGAGATTATGCCAAGCCCTTGGAGGGAGACTGGATGAGATTATGGAGTCATGAAAGGCTTCACGCAAGGGGAGGGATGGTTCATGCCTAGGATGGGCGTCGAAGGGGGGACGGGGGGTGGCGGAGATGAACGGTAAAGTGGCTGCAGCTTGAGCGGGCCTGCTGAGGGTTACAAATAAGACTTGATGCAGACAGCTCTTTCGGCGATCAGCTGAGGATAATGTGATGAAGATTACACCGACCACACCATCCCTTCCGAGATTGATCGAGAAGACTGGACATCTCAGCTTGAGGAGGAGATTATTCGGGGCTTGATGGTCTCGGGGAGACGTCTCAATGGTATATGAAGACAGGGCGCCACGTAATGTGATGAGCGGACAAAGACATGAATGCGGCCTAGTGAGGAAGTACCGGATGGGGACTAAGAAGAAGATGCAACCCAGGCTCCATCCAGCCCCCTTACGCGTCGAGGTGTCACATCCCAGGTGGAAAGTGGTTCATGTGGATGATGGCTCCATTCAAGGTGGTAGGTATTAATCACGAATTCCGGAGGCTAACAGTTGGGTGGAACTCAATTAAGTCTGAAGCCCTCGAGCAGCCAGGATCCGGGTCGCAAAATCAGCAGATGATATGCACATTCTGCGATCGCAACACCTTGTTGGCCCCTCTCCCTACGTCTTCTTATTCCTCGTGTGCCAGTGCCATCTCAGCTAAGGTTCCGGTTATGGATCGTGACAGACCAGGCATGAATGAGTCGAAGAGCAAAGCATCATAATCGGCAGAAGGGGGCGCCGTAGAACGAAAAAGGTTATACATCGGCACGTATTACGCACATGCAAAATTACCTTTCACCAGGCGCGGGCCATTTGATGTGGGATAGGAACAAAGTACGTCTACTCCAAGATCTTATGCCATGAGACTTTTCTCTAATCATAGACACCAAGCCTCAATTCGATCATGACAGAACCTGGACCGCCTATGGTGAAGCGGAATGAACGTGGTTCAAGGTCGGAACTATCAACAAGTCCATGCAGAGCTTTCATACCGGAGGGCCCAAAGCAAATGATCAGGCGGAGGAGCCGTTGAGGTGCCAACTCTACACTCTAGCGGGTAGACGTATTCTACGCGTTGCCAAGGCACATTAGACGCAAAGGATGCTAGCATGCTTGGTAGTCTGCAAATATCTCAAGTTCCAGGAGACCATCTCTTCCAAGCCATAGCGAGTAATATGTTAGTTAAGTCAGAGCGAGCGACCCCGCAATGTGTTGCCGCAAAGCTTGGACCCCTGAACGGGGACCCACTCCGAGGCCTCTGATAGGACAGAGCTATAGGAAACACCAATAGAGACGCTGGGCTACCCTGTTCCTTGGCTGGTGGATTAGATAAGAAGGTGCGAGCGTCATAGGCCATGTGTCAAAAGACAGGCCTGTGACGGTAGAGGAAGAGAACTCAACAATCAAGCCGAGGGCTTCGACAAGACCATCGTCAAGGATACTCAAAGTAATGGTCCATTCAAGGACCTCGAATTGAGCCCGCCTCAGATTTTTCTACTACGTAGTACAGTAGTAAAGTTAAGGTCCATCCGAGACCGGCCCGGTTAGCGGGGTTCGGCGCGGCAGCCCCACTTCGCCATGTTCATATGCATAACCAACTGTCTCTAAATTTCCCGCTTATGCTTCTTCAAACTCTCTCTACATTTGCTTGTTGGCACGGCTTCTCTAGCATTCGGTTTCGGCGCCGCCAATCCATGCCCAAGTGGCTGACGGCATTATCCCGCCAACGACATTCTGGTTTGACTACCCACCAGTCCTGGAATCCAGTCTTCTCGGTTGGCGTCTACGTTTATGGCGCGTTTGTTCTTCCTGAGCCTCTCGTGTAGTTGCGGATCTTGCGGGTGGACTTTGGTGTGTAGGGAGGTTCTGCCTCGGTCTTCAGCTGTCCGGTTGGCTTCATAGGGTCTGTTGAACAACTTGTGAGCCAGGTCTCTAAAGTTGCCTAGAGCGAATGTGGAAGAATGAAGCTAACTGTAGTGGTGTGAGCGTTAATGACGAATCGTTCTCGCTCACTGCGTGGCGTTCTCCCTCCCTTGTTTTGAGAGAGGTTCCGGCTGTCCTCAAGCTTGATGAAATCTCAATTTCCTGGGGTGCAGGCTCTCACCGAAGCTAGTCTTAACTCCAATCGCCTAAGGTCGCGATGTATGGGCCACGGACACAATGACTGAGATAAGGGCATGGACATGGGGAGGATGAGAGGCTTTTGGAGGTCTCCCTAAAGGTTGAAGACAAGGTTTCCGAGATGTGTCGAATTCACACACTCTCACTCGCACACCTCTCTCGGAGATTTGGAGAGAGGCACACACGCACAGACACTGACCAAGAGACAGGTAAAGAATTGGTGTATTTAACGCCTGGTCCCGCCCCCGACAACCTTTAATAGACCTCCCACCTCATCATACAAAACTACCATGATCCGATCATCATCAGCAGAGCCCGCCAAACCCAAGCGAAAGGGTATGTTGCCTTTTTGCTTTATTTGTCTGTTGGTCTTGTTTCATTGTTCTCATGTCATGGATCTACGGCGCATTATAATCAACAGGAAGAAAGCAAAGCAAAGCAAGACAACCTACCCCTACCATACTGACATAACATTATTCAGGCACCCGAAGTGTTTCTACCCTTACTCCCGCACAACTAGCCCGCAAGAGAGCCAACGATCGCGAGGCCCAGAGGGCGATTCGCGCCCGCACCAAGGAGCATATCGAGCGGTTAGAGCGGGAGTTGGCGGAGCTCAAGAGCAAGCAAAGCCGTGACCAGACCGTCCAAGAGCTATTGCGCCGCAACAAGGCGGTCGAGAAAGAGCTGATGCGACTCAAGGAGATTATGAGGGTGCCAATGACTTCGTCACTTTACTCTGCACCACGTCTAACTCCACAACAGCTCTCATTACCCGACGAGCTCTTAACGTCAACAGTCTACGACGACAATCTCAGCACTGGTAGCGATGCCATTCCTAGCTCTCGTAGATCACCATTCCCTGGCGACTACAACTCCCTCCCCGACTACAGCCAACAATACGTTCTTTTATCCCACAACTGCGAATCCTTGGCGAGCACCGTCTCCTGCACCATCCCCTCCAACGTCTCGAGTCCATCATCATCAGCCGACTATAGCGCTAGCTATATCCCAATCAGCGTGCCCACCTCGATCCTCCCTTCCAACAACACTAGCTCCTCAAGCACAAGCGCCATATGCGACAAGGACGTTGTGAAGATGGAGTATGACGACGTAGACGCCGGGTTCCGTCCCAGTAATCCTTCGCTGCATCCCTGCACTGCCCATTCTCACCCCTACATGTCGCATCGCCAGCAGCAGCAGTCCGCCTGGAATATGTGTCCCGTGTGCTACCCTCAATCACATTAGTTGGTTGATTAAAATTACCCCGGTGGCTCAAAACGGCAGGTACCGCCTCGATGAGCTTCTGGCCGGCTTCGTCCAGAACTGTCACCGGGCCAAGGCGATCCGCCAGATACTGGGGAGCGTGTAACCCCGCTCCCTATGCCCTAATGCTGTAGCGGCACGCGACCGGCTGAAAATCATGAAGTGTGTTGCTCTGAACTATTTTCAAGCTTGAAGTTGCATTAGCAAGAAACTCCGGCTAGCCATGACAGAATTGGCCGAACTTTGACCCCCAGAGATGGTAGGAATAAACCATGTGGGATCGGGATATTCAAACGCACGCTGCAAGTGCAAGGCGCGGGGCTAGTCTGAAAGATAGCATACTGCCGTTGGTCGTGTCGTGGTATTGAGGGGTTAGTTACCGCCGTTTATCGATGAACGGTAATCGCTGGACTGTTGCTGTAGGAGGGTCGGGGGCCCCACGACTCTCGGTTATGAGGCACTTCCAAGCTAGAATCTTTACAATTTTTATAATCTTTCGATAGACGTGGAAGTTGATGCGGCCGCGAGCCCTTGAGCTGCGAAATGGACGCGACCGTTGAGGAGATTCTGGTCCAGGGCGGAGATTCCGTCGCCGCGACGAGTCGGTCCTCGAGACCTACAAAGCCGACGGCGAAATTGCAGAAAAGGCTGCAGGCGGTCGCGAAGAAGACCGAAGCAGCAAAGAACAATGGCTCGGGCGAGCCGGGAGAAGGCGAAAATGCAGGCGGGAATGAGTGTACTGACAGGGCCGTAGAGCAGCGCTCAAGCGTCCCTAAGGACGGTGCGCCCTATCAACTCTTGATGCGTCCCTACCTATTGCCTAAATTTACGTAGCAGCACCTGGCTGTACAAGACAGGTTCATGTCGCACACTTTGCTTTCAATATCTTGAGCAATCTTTACATCCAGGCAATGCGACTTCACTTTGCAATTCCTGTCTATGGTGATTCAATTCAGCATGCAGGTTGGATTTAGAAGGCTATTTGCCGCTTCGGGGTGGGTTAATCAGTTCGATGGCGACTGAATACTGGTATCCAACCAACGTTAGCATACTGGGATCGCAAACTTGTAGAGGGCTCGTGCCTGTACAAAGCAAAGCGCAGCAATTCAAGAGATGGCTTAAATAGGCCCCGTAACATGACAATTATTATTTCAAAGCTTTAATCTGCAATTCTACAAGAGCCTGGGCGCAGTCCCAGAACTGCTTGCCCCTATTCATGATGCTCACACAGGGTGCGATGTCTTTGGAAACGCATTCACACCTGATTCCCCGTTGGCTACGTATTGTCTGGAATGCGACATCTTAGCACGGCCGCAATGGAAGCTTCACGGTCCTCAGATACAACACGGAAACCGCTTCTGGACAATCAGATTGTATGGCCCGATCGGTCGCTACGTGGCGGCAAGTGCGCTTCGCACCCAAGCCTTTGTCCCGCCCGCCCTAACGCAGCGGAATTTTGTGGGTTAGTGGGTGGTCCTATTGTGCAATTCTTCCCGAACAATGCTTCCAGAAGCGACAGATCCGCCCTGATTGACGATTCGTGACTGTATGCTCGATATCGAAACCGGTGCTCACATGACCACACAACAGAGTACCTATTCTATGATTAAACCTCATTGCGTAGCCACGACCGAGAGTCGACATTGTGAAGCCAAAGCTCTCAGTCAGATAGATGAACACACATGACACGCGACGCAGTGGCGCGAGAGGTCCAGAAGCATCTAAGACCTCAACGTATTTGTGGTTTAAAGCCCGTATTAGACGCTTTTCATGCCATTCGTGCATACCATGGGCTACTGAATCGCCTTCTTGCCTCACTGCCCCCCAACTGTCAGCCTACGCTACTGTAGATTACCTGGGAGATGTGATATATCCAAGGAGATTGATGAAGTAGATCGCAAACGTCAGATGATTGGAGATAAGGCGTGGGGTCTCATATCTTTCCTACACGTAATCGAGCACTCTCGAACCACGGTGGGTGTATAGGTGCTAGCAGGACGTTCTTCGTCCACTCGGGTCCTTATAACATAGCCAATGGTCAATGAATGCGTCAGAGAGGAACCAACGCCCGTTGAGTCCCAGCTATTGTTGGAAAGTCCGGAGATCCCCATCCCCTCAGGATTCAGACTAACAGTCTGAAAGTCCTAGATGAAATCATCTAGAGATATGAACCCGAGAAGAACTCTCATCTCAATAATTAACAATCAAGTTCAATCATTATTTTCACTCAGCACTACTGCGCAATATAAACAACAACGTCTCGAGAACTTTACCATCAACCAGATCGTGTCGACAGAAAGGGGGAAATCAGAGCTAGCAATATAGGGTCGAAATAAAAAACGTTCGGGTCAAATTTGTTTGGCGGTTGACCATTCCGAGGGAGAAGGGGTCTTGTTTACAACAAAAGAACACTGCCTTCACTTCTCTAGGCGAAACTTTTACCTTCTCAACGTGAACCATCGCACCCTATGCCAATAGCTTCCCGCACTGGCGCGTGCGGAGGTCTCAAGTGACCCAGGCAGAACGAAACTCATCTAAGACTATATACGTCGTTTCAGTTTTGAAGCTGTCAATCGCGCGTCTTATCCTTCCAGATGAAATTGTACAACCCGTCGTACCTCGGGAAATGTTTCTACACCGATGGAGGAGGCCCAAACTTGGCTGACCAAAGTTGCATAATCCGCCCACGGCAGCATGAACCGAAAATAGCCATGGAAATCATCCGAAATGTCATCCGGATTAGCCCAAGTATCATTAAAAACATCCAAAACGTCTACTTGCACATCCTTTGGCAAGGGAAGATGTCGCACCTCTTCACTGTCGGCGTCACCAAGTCGTATATGATACCGGCCCTCGAAACGCTTTACCACTACATGCCAATCATTGAGTACTCCAAGTTGCCAATCAAGGTTTCTTTCTCGACGCAAATCATCTTCGATATCGTTCCAGGGAATGTCGCGCTTTGGAAGACGGCTGCGTAACGCTAGAAACCGGTTTACGTCATTGTCCTTGTCAAGATCAAAGACTAAAAGATCATTCTGGGTTCCAACCGAGAACCTAGAGATTGGGAGGTTGTATGATTGTTGGAAAATCCGGGAATCCCCTTTATCTTCAGGATTCCGACTGTTAGCCTGAAAGTCCTAGATTTAAAGTTCAAAGTCCTAGATGAAACCATCTAGAGATATAAACCCGAGAAGAACTCTCATCTCAATAATGAACAACCAAGTTTTTACAAAATATATTTTTTTCACCCAGCACTACTGCGCAATATAAACAACAATGATCGGCACACGAGTTGTAGTTATTTGACCCTAATCAAGCATGTAGACTAGAAATGCGCCGCATTTCCACTTCTGCACCAATCAAAATCTCCATATTCTTACCCCAAATTTTCCCCCTAGAAATGCGGCGCATTTCCATCTGGGCCTGTAAACCGAGAACGCGAAATGCGCCGCGTTTCTTCCACGAAGGCCCGTGCCAACCATGTAGACGACCGCGCTCTTGGGCTTCACAGCGTGTAGTAATTTCCGTTGTGTCGATTAGGAGGAAGGGAGCAGCGATCAAGCTCTCTCTTTGTTCTTGGCTAAATGTGACTTCATAGAGGGTATCTGATCCTCTTGGTGCCTTCTCAACTTTACCAATATGACAAGCCTCGCGACATACACGGATGCTATTGTCACATTGCGGCCGAGTCAGCTCCAAAAGCTCGAGAGTCTCGGCTTGTACTACAATTCGCCAGAGCCAGCAATAATTTGTATCGAATGCGGCTTCGCCATTAACCCTACGCGCGCGCCGCGTCACCCGGGCGACAGGCACCATATACCCAAGTCTGCCCGCCGTGGTTTGAAGCCTCTAATCTATTCTCTCAATCTTCCAAACCCAGAGACACTTCCACTGCGACCAAACGGCTCGCCGCCTCACCCAAACCTTACGGTATACAAGGGTTCGGCCTGTAAACATTGTGGTCTTCGCTCTATCAGCGAAAAGGTCTTCCTAGCCCATGTGAAGTCAAAGCACAGCAAAGACATCAAGCTCGCAGCTCGGCAGCAGAAGCGACACTGGCTACATGATCACATCCAGCAAGGCTTGTTATTTCAGAGCTGGTCAGCGAACGACATCCGAAGGTCATGGGTTATCACCGATAACAACCCTGGCCGTGGCTCTCTATCTTGTAGTACTCTCCTGCAAGCTAGTCCCGACGCCGTTAAGCACCTTGTCGAAAAGCTCTTTGCTGATGAGCGTGCAACATTGAAGGAAATACAAGGAGGCCTTACGAGACTATATGACAGTGCAGCACCGGCATGTATCGCCTTACAGACGAATTGGATGCGGCGTACTGGCTGGGAAACGATGTTCAAAGATACACGTCGTGATATCCTTGTTGCGCTTACGGAGTTACCTAATTGCAGGACCGACCAGCCTATGCCCCTGGGTATCCAGGGAGAAGAAGTAATCTATAGCCTGGCGCGAGATGAACGAAGGTTGGCATCGATGATGGTAGCGCTTGATCGCCTCCTCGACCAATGCGGCGAGACCGTCCGGAGAACTGATGTGTGCCTGAGAAGGTGGCTTCGTTCCAGGTTCCCAGACCGCCCCTACAAAGCGCCCTTTGAGCTGGTGGCAAAGTCGTCTTCAGAGAAGCTCTACCGGAAGGAATTGAAGCGTTTTATCTGCTTCTGGCTTCGATTGTCCAGATTGTTGCCGATGACTATGCGGGCAATTTCAGGCCGAGCGATGAACAAACATCAGTTTAGAGCTCTTCGTGAGCTCTGGGTGGATGGCATCTGGCAGTCTGAGGGGCCTGCTGATATGGACCGTACCGATAACCAGGATGGAGGGCAGAGTATGAACGGTGATGAGAGTGGCGATGATGAGGGTGAAGAAGAGGAGAATGATGATGATGATGAAGAGGATGAAGGCGAGGACGAAAGTGAATGTGAGGAGAGTGATGAACAGGACAAATCGTAATACGACAGTCAGAGTAGAGTGGCTATAGAAGCAGGTGATCTCTCTGACGCCGAGTCGACTTCCGCTTGGCCTTTGGACAGCCAGGAGCAACTCTCCCAAGACCCCGCGGCCGACATCTTACTGCGCTTTTGTTACTTTGCTATCACCGAGGACTTTGAAGGTGGGCTCGCGAGCTCGACGATGCTGGTGTACTTCAGTGCTGTACGCGGGCTGTCAACCCCTGACGGCAACGAATACCTCCAGCCTTACCGGTTCACCCCCATCCTAGCGAGACTTATATACTGTTTTCGGTTGGTCTTTCTCGAAGCATTGCTGCCGCGTTTTTCACGTAGCTACGGTGGTATTGCGCGTCCGCCGCGTCACGGGCTGCTGCAAAGGCTCAATGCGGCCCGCCGCGAGTACATGTGTGATGGCACGTTAGCGCCTATGGGCGAGCTCCTGAGTCTTCTGTCTTATGGCAATGCTCTTCGGCGGCCTCAAGGGTCGACTTTCCGATTTCATTGGAGCGATGACGGCGAAGTACTGTCCTGGCATGGCAACCAACAACTTTCGATGGTAGACTTCCGTGGCCTGGCTTGTGAAGTGCTGCGCTCAGTCGCGGCATCCTGCTCACGTTTGATGTATGATTGGGAGCCTGCATATGTCGATCTGTCGCAGATTCTGGATAATTTATCAACAACAACGCCAGGCTATTCCTTCGTTTCTGACACCGCCAATAAGCTGTCAGATGCTCACCTTGAATTACTCCTCAGGGCATGTGTCTCCCCGATTGACGGTCTGCTCCAAGAACAGGGCAAAGACCAGAGTACCTGGGATGTCAAAGCTGCTCAGTCCTACTTGGATGCCCATGATAATTTCCTTAAAGGGCTTATGGTGCTCTCTAATTTCGATGGGGGCCAATGTGCGCGAATTTCGGAGCTTTTGACAATAGAATGCTTCAATACGCCTTCAAGGGAGCGAGGGGTTTGCGTATGGGGTGGGAAAATGTGCTCAATTATCAGGCACCATAAGGCTCGGGTAGCGACTAACAACGAGTTCTACGTCGCACGCTTCTTCTCCCCACCTGTGTCTCGGCTCATTTTTCAGTACCTCGTCTATATACGACCGGTCGCATTAACAATACTGCGCAGATGTTTTCACCGTGAACATACTGATGCACTTCTCTTCTCGCCGCTCTCGCGAGTAGGCCCAAAATCAACACCCTGGACCGCCTCAACGTTTACCAAGGAGCTCCGGCGGCACTGCAACGCCGCTACAGGTATCCCATCTGGCATTGGGGTCCAAATGTATCGTCAAATTTCAATTGCCATTACGGAACGGCATGTTAATGCCGCTGCTGCTCGTTTTAATAGATTTAACGATACCACTAGGACGGCAGGGCATGGTGTGGCTTACGCGTGGCAGAGCGGACACAGACCCATGCAGCGGCATACAACCTACGGCCGTGACGGCGCCTTTCCGACTCATCTTCAACCTGCGCTACTTCGAACCTACGAACAGGCTTCGATAAGCTGGCATTCCTTCTTATGGGAAGAAGGTGACAGATTTAGTTATGTCTCAGCCGAGGCCGAGCATGCCGAGTTGAACAACGTGAGCGCTAGTGACAGCCTAACACCATCTCACAAGCGGCCATTTATATCAGACTCGGCTGAGTCACCCTTTATCAGCAAGAGACAGCGATTAAGACTCGATTTGTTATCTACGAGTGATACTATGGCAGCCGAAGTCATAAATCAGCCTAGCAGCGAAGAATCATTGCCTGTTCGAATCGACGAAGACGCTACTTCGTTTACCTGTGACTCTATTCCGTGTCCATCGCCCGAGAGGTAAAGCGATGGAGTTGACTCCACGAACGATGATACATTTACAATGATCGGGCCATTCGTCCACCTCATTGATTCAAATCTAGTTGTATGCATCGATTGCAAAACAGCTGTCCTAGCCAGACATGTAAAGGCACATCTTGCCGATCCCCTGCACCGTCAGCGTTTTTTTACAATTAAACAACGCCAGGGTATCAGTAACCAGATTCTGGAAATACCGAATATCGTTAAGGACCTTGCCGACTTAGAGCACTGGACATTCCCGCCCCCGGATGCAGATCCAATCCCTTATATCGAGCCGCCGCTGCATGGTGGATTAGGCTGCAATTCTTGTCCATACATTGGGCGAGATCTTCGCCGAATACGAGAGCATTGCCGGACAGAACATGGTCTTCTGACAGAAGGGAGTAATAGAGCAGGTTCAAGTAGGCTAGACCTACAGTCACATCTATGGAGAGATGATGTAACCTATCAGCGTCTGTTTAAGCGTGGCTATAGAAGCTCATGGTTTGAGGTTGGCCGGACAAAGAATTAGGCATTGGAAAATTTCAGATTTTTGCTTTATTAGATAACTATTATCTATGTAGCGCTTATTTGTAGTAGGCTGATAATAGAAATGTTACTTGATCCTAGTTCTTAGAAAAAGCATAATTAAAGTCACACTTCCACTACTCGGGTAGGGCCTTGAGACCGGCCCCCCTTAGCCTGACCCATTCCACCTGTGGTGCCAGAGGGTCAGGCACGGGGGGTACGTTGACTAGGCACAGGGGCGGTTGACTGAGGAAATCTAAGATACCTCTTTTTCTTAGGTCTTTCCTTATTATCAGAAGTATCCTTCATCTCCAAATTTCCCCGCATATATCACGTGACTTTGACATATTAACGGTACTTCTTTTTCCTAGGCCTTGCCTTACTATTAGAGGTATCTTAAATTTCCTCAGTCAACCGAACCTTTTCCTAGTCACCGTACCCGCCGTGCTTGAGGCACGGTCACTGGTGACTGAATGAAAAGCACGGGGGGCCGGTCTCTAGGCCCTACCCGAGTAGTAGTAGTAGTAGTAGTAGTAGTAGTAGTAGTGGTAGTAGTAGTAGTAGCAAGCCAATTAAAGGAGACCAAAAGCACATTCTTAATAAACAACAAACCCTTGATAACGCCTACCTGGGTGACTATCAAAATATAATAACAGTATAGCCTAGCTCAGAGGCAAGGAGCCCAACCAGCTACTAGCACCTTGGCCTCTACCCAGCTCCTGCTTGCCCATTTAAACTCCAATATTATCCATCCTATAAGGTATTGCCTCCTTCTCTTCTGCATTAAATATAATTGAGCCTCGTATGTTAAAGCAAAACAAACGCTTCGTCTTCACGGCTCGCCAGCTGTAAGACCAAACCATCTTTCAGACTCACAACATAGCCATATTCACCTCAAATGCCGCGCCTGGAATGTCCATCATTGGGCAAATCAGCAAGAGAGCGACCTCCAAGTGTCCATAAAAGAAACCTTAAGCATTGTTCGACCCAATAAGTCGTATCGAGTAGGTAGCTGGGTCGGGCTAGCCGTGTTCCCCCTGCAAGTCATCAGGAATACGTTCGGGGACTGGTTGGCTCCTCCAAGCAATGTTGAGCTGTACCGTCCAGACTCAATGAGCCTGCTGACAGGAACAGACTCGGCGCAGTTACGTGGTCGTCATATTGAGTATTCAGTCAATAGTGGAACCGCATAGCAGACAGTGAGCCTTCTCAGTCCAGGTCTTATCGCCACCTGTTACGTTTTCACGCAGGTCGCGAATCTCCCATGCTGTAGGGCCGTCTTGCATCTTGAGAGTGGCCTCGAAAAGTCCCAGATATGGCTTGGAGTCTCCGGTCTTCTTCTTGTGACCCTTCTTGGCTGATCCTTTAGCTGATGCGGTGGCAATAGATCTGGATGGCGTTGGTCTAGGTATTGGAGTTTCTGTCTCACGAGGGGTCTCGCGAGCAGCCTTCTCGACGTGTACATTATCGTTCGTCTCGCCGGAACGGACATCGATCGTTGGCTGGGTCTCCTTCTCCTCGGCGTCAGTGGGCGATAGCGGACGGATCGCTTCCTCAGGCTTCTCTTCCTCAACAACCAATCCCTCGCTTCGATGGGACTTATCTGTTCCCAGTCGTTCGTAGACTTGCATAAGAATGTCGTGGGCCATACATTCGTGATGCATCCACTTCCCGCATTCCCAACTCGTGCATTCTATGAGGGTCTTCTCGGGGTTCGCAGGAGTTTGGCATTTGCACCTGAGTTCAACAGACTTTATTACCATTAGCACTTGCGAAAAAGGAATTAGGTTCTGGGCGACATACCGAAAGTTGCGAGTTACGGCAGTCGTACGCTTGACGCCAATAAAGCGCGTCTTGGATCTCCTCGTCGTCGGACTCTATCCATTGGTTGACGGTAACGGGTCCTGTTACACTGACAACATTAATAATATCCACTAAAAGAGAAAAATCGGTTAGTCGCATTGCAGCATAATATCGGTAAGCATTCTGGAACATACTGTGGTTGGAAGCAATCAGTTCGTCAGCGCCATGGTACGGCTGACGACCTTGAACCGTCTTCTTGCCGTCAAGGGTTCCCTCAGGGAGTTCATCAGGCCAGTACATCCAGTAGACGCGTGCATAGACGTGATGCTGATCGGAAGCACGGATCTCGAGGATGCGCGCGACCCAGCCATCATTACTCTTCTTGGAGATACCCTTGCCATCACCTTGAGCTTTGTGTTGTTCAATGGTCCGCTCGTTGGCGACATGCACGAAGTCTTCGCTAGAATATCTGAAACCATTGTCTGCCAAGAGTTAGCCATGAGCCCCTCACAATTTGTGACGCCGCTGAGATTTCATCGGATACTTACAGACAACGGTTTTATAGCACGCCATTTTTTGCCATTTCTTTCCAGGGCCGACGGTGTAGTATAGATCCATGGTGTTATGCGTTTTGAAGCTGCCCGTTGGGGAGAAGGGAGAGCCTTGAAACCGAACCAGTTTATCGTCATCTTGACCATCGCGCTTCCGCTTCTTGGTCTTGCGAATTTCCTTCTGGGCAGCCGGAGGGCTAGTCGCGTAAGAAATCGTAAAAGGGCACTCATCGCGACTCTCCCCCCCGACAGATCGCGATCTCTTGCGATTGCTCATTGTGGCGTTTTAATACCGTTGGCCCTTGGGTATGACCGCGTTGAGAGTGGAGAGAGGATGGGTTTGCGGAGAAACGATAAGGCGCGCGAAGAAACGGCGAGGGAAGGGGAGAAAAAAATGAAAGAGAATCGCATATACGTGATTTTGCGATGGCGAGATCTGTGCTGAGCTGAGCCCAATTGGTCTCTGGATCGTCGCGTGCGCGATTTCCCTTATGTCATCGACTTGGGCCTCTATGATTGGACGAGAACGGCCCGAGAGTGGAGTGGCTTCTGAAGAAAAGCAGAACTCTCTAAATGTCATAAATATACTTTGATTCATTTTTCATATCCTCATAAACTAGGATATGGTGCTAGATAACTTGATAGATAAGCGGACCGGGTTTTGTTTGTTATTGAATGGGATCGGGCCACCGTTGTAGATTTGATATATGCAAGGCCCGATTTGGCTGACAGTCAGATATGATTTTTCTACTGATGTAATAGAAGGCTCTTCTTTAACATTCACAAAATGGTTGAAGAAGGGTAAGTTGAATGCAGTTCTGCGTGAAAGAGAGTCGAGAAGAATTGAGAGTAAAGTTTCAGAACTGCCTGGGGAGCCCTAGCTCATACGAGTTGGCTAGGTTTGGAAGTGAAACCAGAGCGGCAACCTGAGCCAGTTCTTGTTTGTGGGGCTCTAGGAAGCGGGGCCATTCCGTGACTCGAAGCCACTGGGATTGATGTCTAGGGTCGGAAGATAGAAGCTTTATGTCAAAACCAGTCTGGTTTGATATTGCTGAGTTTTCGTTTTCTTGCTGGGCAAGCTGAAGGTTTATAATGTCCTCGAGTCCAGTTTAAGCAAACGCAGGGCTGATATTGGTCGCGTTACTTCCTGCATCAGATCCAGATGGGCTTTCCTCCATGTCCTCGTGAACTTTGCGGGCCTCGACGATGAAGTACCTACATCGTGAACCGTGAAAAAGGGTTTGACAAGAGACTGGAGTCCGGACTAGACCAGCCTGGGCCAAACCCTTGATCCCTCCAACCTCTCCCCTTCGTCGGCGCCCCGGTTGGCGCAATGGTTGCTTATGGACCTTTTTGAGATGATCCTCTATTGCTGTGCGACCTCGGCAGACATACCGGTCTCGATCGACTTGACAAAGTAGACAGTAAATTCCATCGTGGAAAACACTAAGGAACTGAATCGGATGGGCGATCGGCAGCGGTCGCACCCTAATACTACAGTCCAAAATCAATTGTACAACAATTGATTTAATTTACCCCACTTTACAGGGGGTTGACTTGATTTTTGACAAGGGGTAGACTTGAATTTCGAAAAATGGACTAGCGTTGGGGTAAACTCGATTTTGACAGGGGTTGACTTGGATTTCTGATTGGTTCTTGCTTACACGTTCAGGCAAGACAACACTTTAACAGCAGCGCGTCGAGCTTTGAATCCTATTTATCAACGTCTATCACAATGAATGTGAGATCTAACCAACAATCTATTATTTTTTAGCTTGTTTCAAGAATATCCGTCAGACCATGGCACTCAAGCCTACGACGGAGCTCGGTCCTTCTAACCCTACTCTTCTATTCCTAATTGTCGCGTACCCCTGTCCACTGCTCAAGTACCTGTCTATCTCCGGTTTATTCCCCCTCAATCCATACTGTGGCGATTGATTTGTCCCATTTCGATCGACGATCTGCACGCGCGTCATATGCGTGTATACGCGTACTTTAGCTTTCATACTTTATAAACCCTCTTTACTGTAATTTCAGTCCGAGGTTTCTTTCCAACGATCTACATCATTATCGATCCTCCCACTTTCACCTGAAAGAGGACTCTGAATAACATACCCCCAGCAAAATGTAAGCCAAAGTGGTGATCTCGTCATTTCATTGGTCGACTTTGCTTTTTTTTTCCCCATCAGAGAGTTTCAACTTCAAGCTATGCAATGCCCTATACGCGGCGACGCGCGTATGTCGTGTACCCTGGCTATCGACCTGCGGAGGCATATGAGCCCAACGAGTTACAAATCTTCATTGCCATCATCTCTTTGGAAATACCAATCACGACGTCAGAACAATCACATCATGAAGAGACCATTCGAAAGCACTCAGACTGACTATGTTGCGGCCACTGGCACAAGCGAGACGACCCCATGGCTGCAGCACACACGCTGGGCTAAGCTATTCCGGAATAGATCACTCGAAATCATTGCCGCCACGGCGAAGCTACCGGCCTCGCAATGGAGTAGAAGATACCTACTTGGTCAATGGCAAGGACTTTATATCTGGAGCTCTGCCGAAACTGAAGCCCAGTTGCAGGTTATCCTTCGCGGGCTAGACTTGATGTTCGACAGGGCAAGAGCTACGCTTGATCGCACGCCATATATCTCGCGCTGTTGGCTAAATACATATGCTAAAGATGCTTTTTGGCCGCATGGATTTCGAGTCATACCAAGCTTTAAGAAGTATCTGGCAATATGGAAAAGATTCATCTGCTTCGTATTTCGCGCTCTGCAATACCCGTCTCGGCAGCGTAAGGAGGTATATAACTTGCGTTTGGGATCCAATGAGATTAATATGATGCAGCATATATTATATCTGGTCGGTCAACTGCAACTAGGAGAGGATGGCAACGTCAGCGACAGCTCAGACAGTGAGGGTGACGAATCTTATGGCCAAGACTGGCACGACGACTGCGAAATTCCTTCAGAGCTTGAAAATTCAGTTACCGACCAAGACTTTGACACAAGTACAGACGAGGATGAGGAAGTAGGTAGAGATCAAACATCAGACTCCGAAGGATCTGGCTTCTCTCTTCCGAATGGTAACTGGCTGCGGCTGTCTGAGGCTTTATTCCAATTATCAATGATGTTTTGGACATATCAAGATCCCGCTGGAAACCTGTCATCTTCGACCATCGTCCACTTCACTGCTGTCATGGGCATTCGACAACAATCCCTTGCCTTCCACTCGGCCCATAATTCTACAAGTGAGCTAGCAGGATTGATCTGGATCGGCCGATTATTGTTCCTCGAGTATGCCTTGCCGGTCTATAGCTATTCTACTCTGGTTTACGAATGGCCTCGTCGAGATCATTATCCATCGCAGCCTGACCGCTTGGATGCGATTCGCAAGAAGTACTTGATTCGAGGCTGCTATACCCAGTGATCGGAATGGTCTGGTCTGACTTGGTCTTGGTCTGGTCTAGACCGCCAAGACTTGGTCTGGTCTGAGGATTTCTCAAGACCATGGTCGGACCGGTCTTAATGGTCTGGACCGGTCTGGCTATAAATAGATCGGGGTGGCTGAATCTTAGACTAATGCAGTTAGAACATTGAGTACGGAATGAAATTATGAGCCCCTGAGAACAGCTTGAGTTTTCCACTCACATAAAACAATCAAGTCCATAACAACCTGCTTGTATGCTATTGTTATGGAGTCATCAGCTCCACCCTTACCGTCTCCATTGACTATAATGGTACCAAATTCAACGTCTCTTACACCATCTCCTGTCCCTACGTCGTCACCCACCCCTACTCTATCACCAGCCCCTATTCGATATCACGAACCTCCGGATGAGTTCGTACAGGACCGTATCACCTACGTGAAACGCGCGACAATTACAAAGAAGGGATTTCGTCTAGGTTCATCACACATCTGGAAGTATGGCCTCCAATACATTCGAGGTAGCGATAAGAAAGAGGTGTATTACTGTCACGAGTGCACGGCTGGAAAGAACAAGCAAGAATTGTTCGTTATCAATGGCACTTCTAAGGTCAGAAATCACCTAGAACAAAAGCACCAGATTGATCCCCAGAGTGGTATCAAGAAACATAGTTCGACACGGAAGTCTGTACTAGATCAGCAGAAGAGCGCGGCTGCTACTAATACCTTCTTCTGGAAAGACTCAATGGAGAAGTTCAAAGAGCTTCTAATTCGTTGGATTGTGTACTGTCATATTGCTTTCTTTCAACTAGAAAATCGGTATTTCCGAGAACTACTCTTCTTTTGAATCCGGCACTTCTCAACCACCTTCCAAAGGCAGCGAAAACTATTCGAAGTTGGGTTATTGACGCCTTTCTGTCGAAGAAGCAACGGCTCAGAGAGGACCCCCAGCGCTCGCGGAGTAGAATCTCCATCTCCTTTGATCTCTGGACCTCGCCAAACCCTTACGCTATTCTAGGTGTCATCGCCATGTGGATTGACACTACTGGCAAGCGACGAACTACCGTTTTGGGTATACGACGTGTGTACGGCGAACACACTGGCGAGAATCTTGGATCAGTTGTTCTTGAATTGCTAAAAGAATATGATATTGGCGGAGATGAGATTGGATATTTCATGCTGGATAATGCCTCGTCAAATGATACCGCTGTTGGATTCATACTCAAGGAGCTCTGCCCATGGATGGACTCGAAACAACGTCGCCATCGCCGACTTCGCTGCTTGGGCCACATTGTCAACCTCTGCTGCCAGGCGTTTCTCATGGGTCGGAACTGTGAGAAGTATCTAGCAAAGCTTGAAAAGCACTATCAACGCGGAGACTATGTGAAGGTGGAAGAGCTCTGGAAAAAATTTGGATGTTTAGGTCGGCTTCACAACCTCGTACGATACATTAGGCTTACTCCACAACGCCGTGAGGAGTTTGCTGCAATCATTATCGGCGGAGATCTCTCTGAATTCGACGGGCTCGAGCTTATCCAGAACAACTCGACACGCTGGAATTCATGGTTTCATTCAATTACACGGGCATTGAATGTTCGGGAACGCTTAGAGATCTTCTCAGCTCGCCATGTACCTGGGAAAGGCTCTCAAGGGATTGCGAACTTTAAACTTGATGGACAGCACTGGTTCGAGCTTGAAAAGATTGAACTCGCTCTAAAAGACTTCTACGCTGCAACTTTGCTTTCTGAAGGTAAGAAGACGTCACTTGCTGACTGGTTTTCAACTTTGGACTGCCTTCTTCGAGAGGTAAGCGAGACGAAGGATCACTACCACGACATCCACACTGAGGACGATAATAACTTTACATGGAAGTACCTTCAAAGCTGCGCAGATGCCGCGTGGTCAAAATGCGCCGAGTACTACAACAACCAGCAGCTAAATTGGCAGAATCGATTCCCTGAAGATACTGACCTTCCACCGGCATACTATGCGGCTCAAATCCTCGATCCATATCGCAAGTGGGCGTGGTTCAGGCAAGAGTGGGTTCTTCACGGCGACGAAGAGAAGAAGAGGTGGTTTGATAACGCACAATCAGCGGTGAAGCATCTCTGGGAGACAGAGTATAAGGGAAGACACCCTGTTGAGATGCTGCCACCACCGGCCAGGAAGGAGAGAGCTCCTGGCCCAGCATTTGATCGCCAGCGGGAACATAAGCGTATTCGAACAGACGCTCCGGTCTCCACAACAGATTTGTATGAACAATATATTTCTACCGACAGGCTCCATGACGACGAGGCAGGTTACGATGACGCCATTGCGTACTGGCTATCTCGTTATGACTCCCAGAGAGATCTCGCTCGCTTCGCTCTGGATCTGTTTGCGATCTCACCCATGTCAGATGAGTGCGAACGCCTTTTTAGTAGCGCAAAGCTTACTATAGTTGATCGCCGTGGTAGGCTGAAAGCAGATATCATAGAAGCTTGTGAGTGTCTCCGGGCTTGGTATGGAAAGCCCCAGGTTGAGGATGACAGTGATAGCGAGGATAGTGAGAATGATAATGAATGGGTTGATAGCTATTCGTAAAACACATTTCCTTTCTTCCTTCCACTACTTCAACTGTCACGGGGCCAGAGGCTTTGCAGCAAGCATAGCGTGTATTGACGAAGAGGTCGGCTCAGGGAGCAGAAAACGTTCTGCCCTTGAGCGACAATACCGTATTTATCCGAGCGTCCACGTGACCTGTCAGGTGGAACCCTGACAGCCTCATTCTTGGCGGTCTTGTTGGTCTAACCGGTCTACCAGACCGGTTATTATGTAAGCAGCTGGTCTGGTCTGGTCTGGGGGTCCAGACCAGACCAGACCAGACCATTCCGATCACTGGCTATACCCCATTCGGAGAAATCATTGAGCTTAAAGCCTTTGCCAAGTCAATTGTTAAGAGAGAAGGCATCCCCGGAAACCTCTCCTGGGATCCAGACGGGAAGTCATTTATAATCGGACATGACATCAAGTTCAAGCTTTCTGAATTTTGCGCAACCCATTGCAAAGCCATTAAACTCGTGGGAGAGCGGATAGACGAGATGATGTTAGGGCTTGAAGTGGATATCAAGACGGACAAGATCCAAGATGACCTCACTTGCCGAAAAGCCGGATGGTCTTTCATACAAGACCCAAAGAACAAGCTAGCGGACACCTGGGAGCAATTAGCAGATACCCTGAGATCGTCAAGTTTTCGCGGCAAACCTTTTATCAAAGGCACGGACTGGCAGGTCGACACCTGTATAGCATATCTTAATGCTGGTATAGACCTCAGTAAGCTGACATTCGCTGCATCGCATCTTTCGGGAGGGTTACCCGGAAGGGGTACCGAGATACCATACGCCACCACTCTTCACCTTCCTTTGTCATCACACTTTCTTGGCATACAAGTGTTAAGAAAGTGGCCCTGTCTACACCTAAATCCTTAACAAGTGCACAACAAACATTCCAATCTGCGCTTTGCGCAGTCGCAAACCGCGGCGATGGCCTCGTCTACGACGATCCCGCCCGCTGCCTTGGATCCCTTCGATCTGGGGATCCACACTCCCGTCAACCTGAACCGGGGAGCCCGTGCAGCCCTCTTGCAGAACAGTCCGGCAGCCGTCAACGGCACCATTGGTGTTTCACCCGGTCCCAGGCGGATGGCTCAGACACCATCCTCACCACTCAACCCCGCCACCATCGCCGCAGTTACGGAAGGAGCTGAGCGTGCCAGTCCCGCATCCATTTTTGAACAACGACCGATCTCTATCGTTGAATCAGCCAACGATCTCGCGCGAGAATACGTGGAAGAGTACAACATCAAGCTGGGGGTTTTCCAGGCCTTTTGTGCCAAATTTGAAGAAGCGGCCCAGCAATTCGTCACCGGACCGCAACGACGTTTCGCTCAGCAATTTGCCGATGATTTCCTCGGCTTTTGGAAACGAGAGCTCTCCTGCTCCGGACCTGCGACCCCAAAGCCTACATACAGCAGCGTCGCTGCTGCCGCGCCTCCCACTGACCATGACCGTCTGACCCACAGACAACAACAACAACATGGACGCCGACAAACAGATCCACCTCATCGCCAAGGGCAACAGACGACTATCGCCCCACCCCGACAAGACCTCCGTGTCTTCATCCGTCTAGAAGCCGGAGCTCCGGCCAGGGCCCACAGTAGCTATGCCATCCGGACTCTGATCCGGGAAAAACTCGGCGCCGTCTCGGACAAAATTCGACAGGTGTTCCCGGTCAGATCGGGATGGGCCGTCCTGGCCGCCGACTCTGTCACACGCGACTTTCTGGTAGATAAACAAGCTGAGTGGGCCGCTGAACTGGGAGCTACAGCAGTAGAAACGAACAAGGAATGGTTCACCTATGTGGTCTCAGACGTTCCCGCAAGGCTGACTGACTTTTACGGTAATGAGGTGGATAGTGACAGCGTCGTTAGCGACGAGATAGAAGTCCAGACTGGGATCAAGCCCATTGATGTACGTACCGGAAGACAATTCTCGGATAACCCCTTGACCAAGGCCCTGCTCGTGTCCTTTCTGAAGCCCACAAAGAGATTCTGGTCTCTTTTCGGCAGCAGCGCAGCCAGGCTTGTTGACAAAACCGACCGACCCAGACAGTGTGAGACGTGCTGGGGCTACCACTTTGCCCGCAACTGTCACAGACAGCCAGTTTGCCGACGCTGTGGTGAGACTGGCCATCTTGTAGACGATTGCATCGCACGAGAACAGTGCATCAACTGCTTAGGCCCCCACCAGGCCAACTTCCGTAGGTGCCCAGCTCGGCCAAAGACAGTGCACGGCGTGCTCCGCCGACTCACTAAAGAGCAACGAAAGCATGTCCGGACCGTAGGTGCGGAGACATACCGACAACGACATCGAGAACGGCATCTGGAATCGCATCAGGAAACGCAGCAGGGCATGGCTGAGCGACGAAGCGTGGATGTCACATCACAAGAACAGCCTAACCATCGTGCTCCCAGCCCAGCTGTATCAGGAGCACCCTCGTGCATCATGGTGGCCACGACCCCTCATGCTGGCTATGAAGCAGA